ATTCTAGAAATCAGTGACGATACCCAGCCCTAGAAGAAAGTTGACTTAAAAGCAGCAAAAGCGCCTCGTTTCAGAGAGTAGAGCTGAGGTCCATTCAGAAACCAGAAGAGAGAGTTTGAATTCCTTGTAACACCCATGCCCTGCTTATTTTTCAGGTGGGGGAAAACCTGATCCACTACTTTCTGCAGAAGGTGAAGTCACTTCCACTTGCCACCATGACTGAGGAGGAAGTGAAGGCAAAGCTCAGGAAAATGAAGCAGAAGCTGGTTGCCCAAAATAACACGTACATCAGCGGGGTCCTCGCACGCTGCGTTCCTGTTAAAACTGCTTGATTTTTAAACCCCTACCCGCTGTCTGCTCTGCAAAGTTAAAGTTCATCACTGTAGCAAAGAACACTAGAGTGCTTATACTGTAGTTTTCCAATAAAGGATTTATTGCCAATCTGCAGACACGTTTGTTTTGTTTTTTTCGTCAGTTATTTCGTGAGATTGCTCTGTCGCTTAACGTCCTAGCACCTGGCGTCCACATATGTGGACATCACATTTTGGGTTATTTAGACCAAAATACTCAATTTTACTCTACAAGCGCCTGATATCCACTTACGAGGACATTATACTGCTACTGTTCTATCGAAATTTTAAACGAATATTCTCATGTGTGGCTTTCATTTTTCTAAGAAACAAAAATTAGGTAAAAAAAAACCCTGGTAATTATTTGTTTTTACATTCATCGGGTCCCAATATGCCCAAATATCAAAGAGGAAAAAATAAAAATGCATGCCGTGGAAGAGTTCGGGTCTTAGGAGGTTAATGCAGATTGGTGACACCAGTAACTTGTGTGTCTACTGTTGGTCAGGAGGTTAGATAGCTCAGTTCCGGTAATACTGTGTGTGTAATTAAGACTAATTGCTTAAAGAGATGTGATGAATCGATGCAGTATGGATAATGAAGTTAGTTCTGGTGGTAAATCACGTTGAGAACCAGTCTCATTGCAGAAATGTTCACGTTCACATCTAAATACATACCATATGATAGCTGACTAACAGTACTCGTCAATTTCCTTATCTGCTTATCCAGGTTAGAGTTGTAGGATTGATACTGATGAGTCTTGGCACATCATTGTAAAACTTGTTCAGTATCACATCTGCTTTATTTTGGATCTTTTTTTTTTTTAAACTCCAATTACAATGCCTTTCTTTTTTCTTGTTGGAATAATTTAAAACTGCTGAATTTGGCTGGACGCGCAACTTTGGGAGTCCTAGTGGTGCCAACATCTTTTTCAATTTTCAGGGCACTGAAAAAAAAAAAAAGATTTCATTTACTATTAACTTGAAAGGTCACTGGTCAAGAAGGGCGTCTGGCATAAAACTGCCAAATGTAGCACTAATGCTGTGGCAAGGAAGTAGCTGAAAAGTAGTCCTCACCCTATTTTAACAACCTTATTGTGGACAGCGGACTCCTTTGCACTTCATAACTTATCTCGACTGACAGTGTACACTCTTCCATTTGTGGGACAGTCCCTTAAGTTCAGGTACACAGGTCTTACACACCTCTGTTCCTTCAAAATAATCCTGGCGTAATTCCAGATCCAGCTTTACAGTGGTGCAAAAAGTACTCATTACTGTGGTTCAGTCACACTAGAAGGAGGCAACCTCCTTGCGACTAGGAAAAATCTGTCTACATTACATAACTGATTGCAAGTAGCTGCAGTGACTGGGCAACCAAAGGTGGTCACCATCCACCTCTGGGTGACCAGTTTCAGGTCACCTGGTGGGAGGCGATCTGCTTCCAAATAAACCATCTAACTTGGACTGATTGTAGTCGTTCTCAAATAGACCGCTAAAGGTTTGGAAATAATTGCTCTTCGCCAAATACTGCAAACAGTGCGAGTCAGGCTGCCAAAGAGTACTACTCACCTATGACACATCTCTGTGCCAAAGAGAATTGGTCTTAGCTGGTAGCAAACTGGCTATGGTCTTGTTATATTCCTACATAAAAGTATTGTTACCAAGTAGCTCATATATCTTGGTTAAATTGTCTGTTCTGCAGCAAATACATCACTATTTGTGGAGTTTCAGATCTGAGGCTATGACTGGACTCTAATTGTAAGTAAATATGTATTTGTATGTAAGCAGTACCAGCAGTTTTCACTGATTTATCACATTGAATAAGCATATCGCAAACAGATATCATGCAGTTGACTACTTAACCCCATTCAGTCCCAACTGATTGCAGACTTTCTCAGTCTAGTGGTTTGCACGTTTTCCAAACAAGTGACAGCTCCCTGGTTTGATCCCAGGAGGATCCCTTTGGGGTTGTGACAGGAAGTGAATCTGGTGCAAAAAAAAATCTAACAAATTAAACATGTGGAAGTTTGTTGTTGGAGGCTTGTAAGCTAAAGTAAGTAATCCTTCTCTGCCCCAATTACATTTATAGTAAAGGCTGAAAATGCTGTTAAAATGTCAGAAACCCCAAATTCTTTAAATATCTTAATCTCGTAACGTGAATACCAATGCGCCCACGATGCAAAAGCATCATAGAACAAGTACCACCTCAGCCCAGAGGGAACCCACAACTCTTTTGTTGAGCGTTTTGTACACCAAATGATTAATGTAGCTATAATTTCGATAGCAAAATTGTTAGTTGCAAGCCTACCTGAAACAGTGAAACGGACTATATCACACTTTTGAACTGCAATCCTCAATCTTTGAACGCACGCAGCTTTTAGAGAAAACCTGATTCAGGCGTTCAGCAAAGCTTGTCTCTTTCTTCCTTCTGGCTTTCAGGCTTTGTTCTGCGTACAGCTGCAATATTAAGTCCATCAGTCATTGTAGGCAAGTTCAACACGTCTCCAAACGGCCACTGGAAACAATCCAGCCATAAATCTTCCATTTACATGAATTACACAAAGCAAACAGCAATCTGAAATATCAGTAGCCGGTTCTGATGATTGACGCTGTTGCTCCATGACAATCCAAAACCCCTGACGGGCGACAGAAGACTCGGAGCGGCTGCAAGCAGTCAAATTATATAAGGGCAGTTTTTCACCATCATAACACATCTCGGGTTCTCAAGTTGCATTTTGTTTTTATAAAAACGGACATTTATTTTAAGTGAATTTAAAGACAGACACCTCTGATCTAATAAAGTTTTATTTTCTTAGAAATGGCCAGTTTCCTGTTTTCTTTTTTTGTCTTTCTAAGAAAGTATACCCTTTTTGGATTCCAACTAGCATCTACATAATGGTTATTGAATACTTCACAATATATTAAGTCTAGATGTTATGGTACATGCATACGATTCAGGCTGCATGAGGAGCCACAGTCACCACGATACACAGGGCTGGGGGTGAGACAGGGGAGGATATTTTTTTGGGGGGTGGGGGGGGTGGGACGTGACTGCAGATTGTCTCTTTAGTTCCAGTTTTAGAGGAGTCTTGACACCTCCTATTGAAACCCTCTCCACAAAAAACACTGACTGCATCAATTTATAAACATATAATCACTCACACACAACTTTCACTGTACACGACACACATTTACACTCATACTTTTTGTACAACTGTGGAGCTGCTCCACATGCCATTGAGTCTAATATACTAGAGGGTTTTCTTTTTTTCCTTTTTCCTTTTTTTAGTGTTTAAACGAGTTTCTCTTTCACAGAAAGAACTTCACAACTGGAACGTCTGAGTTTCTGCAGCCTGACAGGCTGTTTGGGCAGGAGAAGGGACGCTAACCAAAGAAAAAGAATAATTATAATAATATATAATAAAATAAAAGACATTCAAATACAGTCAGCTTTTTGCTCAAAAATACAAAACTACATGAGAAAGCATTGAAATAAAATCCACTGATCTGAACATATATTAAAAAAAACAAAAAAAACAAAAAAAGAAAAAGCTTAAGTGCTCCATCACACGCGCGCACACACACCATCTTGCTTTTACCCACACACACGCACACACAACAGAGCAACATCCACCCATCCGTTGCCTAGGTACAACTGCCTGGGCAGCCAATAGAGATGGCAGCTACGAGGAAGCAGGAAGTCTTTGACAGCAGTTCTTATGATGACGACGATGGTGATGATGATGGTGTTGGTGAAGAGGGGTAGGAGCTGAGGTTTAAGAACTGTGAGATCGTCAATACTCGAACCTCTCTGCATAACTTTTCTCTTCCTCCCGCATTTGTTTATAGACTGCAATAAGAAACGCTCCAATAAGGAATCTCTTGTGGCCTTTCCGAGTCTTCCCTCAGCTCCATGGCTCCCTCTAGTGAAGTCTGCCTCCACTGCAGCTCGTATGCCTGCAGGCAGCAGGAAGCCGCTTCCTCTGCAGCCTCTTTTACCTCGATCCCGTCCGAGAGCGCCGCAATCAGAGTCTCTCTGGGTCCTTATGGCTGCGAGTGGATGCGTGTGTGTAACTGTGTGCGTTTATGGGTGTATGGCCGTGTGTAATGTCATGTGTCTGTACGCTTATGGGAGAAAATAACTCGACCAGAGGCTTTCAGTTATGTTGCAGCGTGTTGGACTCAATGGGCGGCGCCGAGTCATACAGAGTGTCCGTGTCGTGTGTGGGCTCTCCCGCCAGCGTGCACGGGTTGGACAACGTCCCCGCTCCACAGTCACAGAAAAACCTGAAGACAACAGACAACCAGGGATTTAAGCATAAACCTCAGAGACATTCGGGTACAAGAACTACTCGCTTTGCTTGAAACGGAGATGCATTTTTGTCAATATTTAATAAAAGTTATTAAATATTAAAACAGTGAAAAAAGAAAAAACTAAATCCTCACCGATCGTGCCGTATAAACTCTACATCATGTCCTTGGTGGCATTTTTTGATACAGTTAACACAGATGGCATTCCTATCTGTTGTATTACAGGTGTGACATCTGGAGAGACAAAGGGGAAAATCTCAAATCAGATTAATTTTCATAACAGTAAGGTCAAATAAAGTAATCTAAAACCCCTGCACTAATTATTATTATTGTTGTTTAGCGACCTGCTTACTATAAATTTCTAGCTCAACCATTTGATCTTTAAATTCAAGACAATCCTCACAGCTGGAGGATCTGCTGCCTCAGTTTCACTGTACAATTCAATCTTTGCACCAGGCATAAAAATAAGTCAGTAACAAAACCAGCAAACATCAGTCAAATACAGGAGCACGCTTTAAAGAGAAATCTGGGGACCAGAACAGCAGCTCAGGAGGAAGCCGTCTATAGTCAAACTAATCAGCTTTTAATCAACTGCCCAATCATTTCAGCTCTAAATAAAGAGGACCTATTATACTCATTTATTCTTTGCATGGTTTACATGCTCAAAGTAATCCCTCTCTCTGCTTAAAACAAGGCATTTTAGCTCCTCTCCTTTTAAGCCAACTTTCTTCTAATTGGCTGTCCCTACCACAGGGTTAGTGTGCTCACAGCTAAATCTCTATGCCTCATA